AAAAAAAAAAAAAAAAAAAAAAGAGAGAGAGAGAAAATAATACCACTATCTTAAATGAAATAATTACAGCAAAAATTTTTACAAATGTGTTAAAGTAGTATAGTAATAAAATGTAAAAGAACTAAACATTTTACTAAGGGAAGAATACTTAAGTTATAACTATAATACTATAGAATATTGTGTTCATTAAAACAATATATGTATTATGTAAAAACAGAAACATGAAAGACTTAGGAAAGCAAGTTGGGAAAAATCAGAGTACCTGTATGTATCAGTATGTATATATGCCAAAAATATATAATCATGACTTTTGTATGAAATCATGTAAAGGATTTGAAGAGAGCACAAATGAACATAAATAGTGGATGTTGAGGCAGTTAAATCATGGAGTCAAATCTCTAGCTTTAATTTTATTTAGACTTTAAAAGAATTGGATAGGGGCCGGGGATTTAGCTTAGAGGTTCTGCCACCTGCCTCGCAAGAGCAAGGACCCGAGTTTGATCCCTTGTACCAAAATAAAATAAAATAATTGTATAAAGTAACATATGTGTATTAACAAATACATGTTTATTTCAGAAATTTTGGAAAATAAGGAGTACAATGCCTACTAGCCACCTTGAACTTAACATTCAAAGAGATCTCTTGATTCTCCTCTCACATCTGCTATTTGTTGGTCTTCCTCATCTTTATAAATAGCACAGAGAGTTGTTCTTGATTCTTCTCTTTTATCTATGCCCACCAGTCACTAGCAAAACCTGTTGACTTCTTCAAAATAAGTCCCAAATTCTGCGACTTTCACCACCTCTACCTTAGCCCAAGACACCATCACTTCTTTCCTGAACTGGTGCCACAGCCCCTTCACCAGGCTCCAGGCTGTCACTCTCTCCCCTCCAGCTTCACTAGTTGTCTTGGTGTCCTTGAAGCACACCAAGCCCATTCACACTTCATGACCGTAGTATTTCCTTCTCCCTTTACCTAGAATGCTCTTACTCACAGATATCCTCACGAGGTGCCTCTCACTTTATTCAGGGCTCTGCTCAGACGTCTCCCAAGAGGAATCATCTGTAATCATCCTAAATAAAGTAGCTCTCTCACTCTTTACACTCATCTTAAAATATTTCATTACCTAAAATTTTACATGTATGTGTGAAATATGTATAATTATACAGGTATAATTATATTTCCACATAAAATTATAACACATAGTCAATCAAACAAATGGTGTCTCCCAGGAGAATGTAAACTCCCAGAGGCCAGAGACTTTGTCTTGTACACCACTGGGTTTAGAAAGTGAGAACGGAGTAAGCATTAAGGAAATATTTGAGGAAAGAAGGAAGGAAATAATTTTTTTAAAAAGTGTACTCGTCACTCAGAGGTAAACAGTTACCTCTACTGTGGTACACACAGTACCACAATAAATATTTGGTCTATTTTCTTCCAATCTTTTTCTAACCTTTTGTGTGTGTTGTTTTAAGTAAAACGGCAATTTTTACTATATGTTTAATTTTGTATTCTGACACATAAAATGTTCACCTATTATTAAGTGTTCTTTAAAACTGGATTTTTAAAATTGTTGCCCAATATTCAATTGTCACATATTTACTCTAATTTTTCTTCTTTGCAGTTGTTTTATATAAACACAACTAAATTTTTTTGTCTACATTTCTTTACACATCCTTAGAGCAAATTTAAAAATTAAGAGTTGAGGCCAAAGGGCATATACATTATTTTAAGACAGGGTTTCACTATTTGCCGAGGTTGCTCTTGAATACCTGGGCTCAAACGATCCTCATGCCTCTGCTTCCTAAGCTGCAACTTCAGGTACATGCCATTGTACTTGGCTTGGGCACGTAGATTTTTTTTTTTTTTTCATACTGGGATCAAACTTGGGTCCTTGAACTTTTGAGGAAGGCGGTGGAACCACTGAGCTAAATCACTGGCCCATATTTTTAAGAGTCTACTTGAAACTGTCCACTAAAGAGATTAAAATTTATCCAATTTATACTGTCACTTTTCATGTCTGAGAACTTCAATTACAGCGTTACCAACACTAGTTTTTCTAAAAACCTTGTCAATTTGTTAAGTGAAAAATGTGTTCTCCTTACTTAAATTTTCATTTCTTTTAGTTGGTTAAATGAGCTTTTTGTCATAAAGTAATTGGCAATCTGTATTTTTCTTTTGTAAACTATGTCCCCTGCTCATTTTCATTCCATTATTTGTATTAATTTGAAGGAATTATTTAAATAGTAAGGCTATTGCCAGGTGTGGTGACACAGGCCTGTAATCCCAGCACTCAGGAGGCTGAGGCAGGAGGATCGCTGTGAGTTCGAGACCAGCCTGGGCTACATAGTGAGTTTCAGGTCAGTCTCAACTACATTGTGAGACCCTGTCTCAAAAAACAAACAAACAAACAAAAGTAGTAAGGATGTTAGCACATCTCAAATGTCATTTTAAAATTCTGTTTGTAGAGCTTCGGATACCTGAAAGTTTCACATTTGATGTAGCAAATTCTATTATATTCCCTTTAGAGCTTTCTTTCTGGCTGGGGAGGTACTTCAGTGGTAGAGTGCCTGGCTAGCCTGCAGGAAGCCCTGCGTTCAACCCCCAGCTTGGAAGTTTTCTTCCATTGCTTTTGTATTTAAAACTGTTAGAAATTACTTAAGAATACAAGGTTTTTACAATGCAAGATATTAGAAGAGTATATTTTGAAATGTATTTAAAGGATACTATTTGGGAACTCACTATATTTGGGAACACTTCCTAGCACATTCATTTATTGGTCTAGTCTTTTCATTTTACTATACATCCTTTCCTTGCACACATAGACCATTTACTGAGGCTGCTTTCGTAGATGACAGCGGGCCAAGTGCTGAGGGAAATGAAGGACACAAAGTCCTATGCAAGTTATCTTTGCATTGTGCCAAACAGCATCAACTGCAGATAAGTATAAACCACAGAAAATAACAGAGCTTATATTCTTGTCAAGTTAGATGTTTTGGAATAACTTGAGCCATGGATCTGATGAGAACAGATTCTATGTTCATATTCTAGGTGTGAGCCCAGTGAATAGACATTAGAAAAGAAAGCAAAGCTACTAATTAACAAATCCCAAAATGAAAGGCAGACAGAAGCAAGAACTCTCAATATGCTACACAGGGTGCTGCATGCCTGTAATCCCAGCACTCAGGAGGCTGAGTCAGGAGGCTCACCATGAATTCAAGGCCAGCCTGAACTACATAGCGAGACTCTTTCAAAAAGTCAAAACAAAACAAAACACCATTGAAGAACCTTAATCCATTCTCAGCTGAGAACATCTTGGGATAATCTTCCCAGCTCCTAGTATAACTCTTGGGATTCTAGATATGCTGATCTTTCAGGTGGCCCTTCCTATGTTCTGTAATTTGAGGCCCCAAAGTACAGAATTACTACAAGGACTATGACCTCTTCCTCCTTGGCCTTCTTTTTGGCATCGTCCAACTTCTTCTTTTTGCTTTCAGGCATGAGATCATCTAACCAGCTCAGCTCTCGCTTAGAGAAACAGAGATCCATGACTTTCCTGACAAAGACCAAGGCCAAAACCTAAAAAAAGTAAAAATAAAAGAAAGAAAGTGAGTTACAGGAACTAATTTCCTTTCTGGAATTTAAAACCAAGTCTTGTTTTTCACAGACAACTAGGACTTTTCCAGCAATATCAAATTCAGAATAGTCATAACAGTTGCCATTTATTGAGCTCCCACTTTGTGCTAGGTACTGAGGTGTTTTACACAGAGTATGTAATGGTCACCATAACAACTCTGCAAATTAGAGAGCAACTAATTTAATTCCCTCACTGAGAACAGAAGCTCTTCATACCGTCCAACAGCTGCTTTCCCTGGTGGGGGTCAGCAGGAAGGGATGCCCGGGGTAGAGAGCCCCTGTAGGAGCTTGGGCATGATGGGCCAGCCACACCCAGCAAGCATGCCTCACAGTGGGATGACAAAACCTCGGAGGACTCCCTCTGATCCTTTGCCTGTAGTCTCCCCTCAAATCTTTGCTTTATGCCTGCACTGTGAACCTGTGGCGGATTTTGATTCTGCTTTCTGACCTAGCCTGACACTCATTTGATAAGGAAGGAAACTGAGGCCCAGAGAGAGGAATGCTGTGGCTAAAATCTCATGGCAATTTTTCCAGTAGAAGTAGGTCCAGGATATCTCAGCTGCTGCTCCGCTATCTTCCCATGAGGGCCTTTTGAAATTTTTATTATTTTTTTAAGCATACATTTATAGTATATAATGATTACACTCATTGCAGGCAGTTGGTACATGTATATAACATGTCTTTTTAATTATTTTTCTTAATCCCCTTCTTCCTCATCTGTCTTTTTGTCCCTTTCCCATTTAAGAGAGGTCCATCTTTCAGTTTCCTATTGTCTACCTTGTATTTTTCTCTTTAATATATCTATATTTGGGGTTTCTCATATAAGGGAAATCATGCGATATTTAAGTTATGTGATTTATTTCACTTAACATATGGTCTCAAGGTGCATCCATTTTCCTACAAATGTGTCCTTCTTTATGGCAGAGTAGTACTGTAGGCAAAGAGAACCTGTAACAATCTAGAACAACCTGCCTGGGTAGATTAGTGTTCATCTGCTACATCTGGACAAGGAATGAGGCAAATCAGTCTTATCAAATTTAACCATATTTCTAATTCTAACCACTATTTGCCAAATAAATCCAAACTTGATGGACTCCCTCCCAGGAGTTCCCAGGAATTTACTGTTTATTGAACTACACACTTAATCCCAGAATATAAAACATAAATGCAGAGTCTTACATGTGTTATGAAATAAAAAAGTGGGGGAGAATCCTACCTATTCTCTAGAGAATTAGAGAAAAGAAATCTAAAACAAAAGTACCATATGATCCAGCAAATCCACTCCTGGCTATAGTCCCCAGGGAACTGGTAGAAGGATACACGTGTGTGCACTCATGGTCACAACAGCAATATTCACAACAGCAAGAACATGGAAGCAACCCAAGTACCTACCCGTCAATAGATAATGGAAAAACACAATGTGGTCTATACCTACAATGAAATATTATTCAACCTTAAAAAGCACAAGGATAACCCTAAAACAAGGATAAACCTTGAAAATACTATGCTAAGTGAAATAAGCCAGCCACAAAAGGATAAATATTGTACAGTTTCATTTACATAAGGTACCCAGTATAATAAAATACATAAAGACAGGAGGAGGAATGATGGTTTCCCCTGGATTGGCAAGAAGAGGAGAATAGGAATTTATGGTTTTAATGAGTGCAGAGTTTCTATTTTTCAAGGTAAAAAATATTCTAGGAGGGGTGAAGGGAGGGCAGGGACAAGGGGAAAAAATGAAAACCAAGACCTGTCATGTAAAGGTACAAGATCCCAGTAATGAATGTAACTGTACTGTATCCCTAAAATGTACCAATAAACTCAATGAGGAAAAACAAAAGATAAAAAATATTCTGGAGATGGGTGGTGGTAATGGCACTAGGACAACATGAATGTACTTAAATATCACTGAACGGTGCACTTAATACACTCCAATGTTTTTAATTGTTCTTTAAGGGATTTGTTAAAATGGGAGCTTTTATGTTATATGCATTCCATCACAATTTTAAAAATAATTAAAAAAAAACACCTCACCATCATTGGGAAAACAATGGCAGCTGGAGAGGCCTTGATGACCCAAAGCAGGACGAGGCAGGTGAGCTGGATGAGGGTGAAGAGGTGCACTTTGCGCAGAGGCACATGCCGCAGGTAGATAAAATCTGGCTGGTGCTTTGCAGGCATACCAAAAAGCTTCAGACGATCAAAGAACTGAAAGGAAGGAATCAGCATTTATTTTCGGAAGGCCCCTCTGAGTCAGAAGCCTTGTTAAACCCATTCATCTTTCTTATATCACTTGCTGAGAAGTAGTTAACACTATTTTCACTGGACAGAAATGGGAACTGAGTCTCACTGAGAATATAAACATCAGTCAAGGGCTGGGGATTTAGCTCAGTGGTTCCACTGCCTGCCTCGCAAGCTCAAGGACCTGAGTTAGATCCCCAGTACCAAAAAAACAAAAAACAAAACAAAACAAAACATCAGTCAAGATCTGAAGCTATCTTCTCTAATTCTGATTCAAACTTCTTTCTCCCATCCCACACTGTGACTCCTGAGAGAACTCCTTCTCAAGGAAAGTAGCAAACAAAATAAGCCAATTGCATATTTCTGTTTTACTATCAGATCCACTGTTTTTAATTGTTCTTTAAGGGATTTGGAGTTATTTATTCATTTGTCTGTTTATTTTACTTTTTTGAAAAGATAAAGTGAAGCATCATAACACAGAATAGAGAACCTATGATCATCCTTAATTATAAAAAGAAAAAGAGACGCAGAAATTAAATACAGTAACCTGTCCGATGTCATATCAGACCATAGTATATAAAAATGACCACTGGACATTGCATACAAACAAGAATCAGTCACCAACAGAAGAAGTGCTTATTACATCATCTAGACTATCCAAGTTACTGAGGGTAGTTTCTGATTTTCTCTGTTGAAAGGACTCCGAGGAATGAACTGACTGACCGGAAAAGGCAGACTATAACAGGAAATGACATCTGCTTGCTTGTGACAACTCCCATTATTCCCCATTCTTTTCAGCAAGGCACCCCAAAGTTAAACTCCTTTCTCTCACACATTAGCTTGGTGCTGAACCTTGAGCTACTTATGTGTGGAAGACAGTATGATTCTTGACAAACCTTTCAGAGCCAGGTTTACCAGCATTTGGCAAAGAACCTAGTGTCTAATACATGACAAATAATTTTTTTTTGAGACAGGGTCTCACTATGTAATTAAGAATGACCTGGAACTCACTATGTAGCCCAGGCTGGTCTCAAACTCACAGCGATCCTCCTGCATCAGCCTCCCAAGTGCAGGGATTACAGGCGTGTGCCACCACGTCCAGCGCCAAATAATTTTTGAATAAGCAACGAATAACTAGAACAATGACATCAAGCCAGGCCACTTTGGAAGTCTCTGTACTTTCAGGCCAACATAATTGCCCTATGTCTGAAGAAATTTCTAAAATAGCTCAACTAACAAGACTAGGAAATGATTTCTCAAGAATTGGCTGTGATTTTCTCAGAGAACTATCCCTGCATGGTCAGGCTAGGTGAACTCACAATGAGAAGACACCTCCCTGGCTCAACTGTACCATACCTGGATTCCCTGTAGTGAAGAAACTCCCATGTAGAGGAAAACTCCATACAGTACTGGCATCGGGATAAACTGTAGATAGAAGGGCAGTTTTTTTTTTTTTTTTTTTTTTTTTTTTTTTGGTACCAGGGATCCAACTTGGGTCCTTGCGCTTGCAAGGCAGGTTGCGGAACCACTGATTGAAATCCCCAGCCCACAAGACATTAAATTTGATACTACGGCATGCTTAACACAATATGAACTTTTAACTCTCTGAGAATGAACTAAGTCACAAGAATTTCATAAACACTGCATCAGTTTTTGCTGCCTTTACCTAATAATTTAGAAGTAGGAGCTAACAATGATAAAAATCATTTTGTTCTGAAATGAAATGATTACATGTTAAGTTAAATCATAGGTCTCACATCTCCCCACTGTCTGGCTCTTCCTCCTCCCTGGGGACGGGAAGACAGACAGACACAATCCAAAAGCCTCGATTAAGTCATCATCTTTCTAGACACCTTCTAACCAGCCAATCTGTCCTTCCTGAAACACTCCCCTCACTTGGTCTGTCACTATACCTTCCCAGTTTTCCTCCAAACTCTCTGGCAACTCTCTCTGAGGCTCTGCTGCTGTCTCTTCCTCAACCCAACTTCTAAAGTCCTAAATTTCTCTCTCTCTCTCACTGTCTGTCTGTCTGTCTGTCTGTCTCTCTCTCTCTCTCTCTCTCTCTCTCTGTTTTTTGAGACAGGGTCATGCTATCTAATTCAAGCTTGCCTGGAACTATGCATCTCAGGCTAGCCTTGAACTTGCCGCTGCCTCAGCCTCCCAAGTGCTGGGATTATAGGTATGTGCCAGCCCCTTCTCTCTTATATCTACCTTTCTCCCAAGTGAGCTCATCTACTCTCTCAGCTTTCAATATTTTATATATTTATATTATTAGTCCAGAACCTTCCTCCAGTTTCTTCACTCAGATGACTGCAGACTTCACATTCAAAGGCTAACCACTGTCCTGTTCCCCACAAAATCAAAATGTAGTCTACACTCTTAAAAAATGTTATTACTCTTCACTAGATGGGCAAGTCAGAAACGTAATGGGAATCTTTGGTTTTTCCTTACCCCATTCCATATCCACTTCAACTGGCAAGACCTTTAGATCTGCCTCTAAGATATACAGAACCCAGGACTTTTTAATCCGTCCCTGCTACTAACTTTCTCATCCAAGCCATCATCACCTGTCACCTATAACTGCCTCTCTGATCTCTGCTTCCATTCTTCTCCCATTCTAAACAGTTGTTCTCTTAGGCCGGGCATTTAGCTCAGTGGTGCCACACCTGCCTTGCAAGTGCAAAGTCCCGAGTTTGATCCCCAGTACAGAAAAATAAATAAACAAACACTTGTTCTCCAGACAGCTATTGGAGTAATCTTTTAAAAATACTGTATTAACCAAATCATGTCCCTTTCTTATTAAAACCCCAAAAAGGTAAGCTTTACTGGCATCGGCAAGGCCCTTGCTGATCTTGCCCTGCCTCCTCTTCAACCTCATCTCACTGACCTTTGCCTTACTCAGTACTCTTGAGCCACATGGCCCTGATATTTTCTAGCACGCACACCACTCTTTCCTACTTCAGGGTCAGAATTGACCATTTTTCTCCTCTTCCTTCATGCCATCTTCCACCACTCATGATACAGCTGGATCCAACTTATCTCAAATGCCATCTTCTCTGACCCTTACTAGAACCCTTTAATTCTCTATAGCTGCAAAGAATAATATATACCTCCTTTACATCACTTATTACATTCTATAATTATCATGCTTGTTCTCTTAACTAATTTTCTTAACTGGATAGATGTTATCTGTCTTACCCCACTCGAATAAGCTCTTCCAGGACAGAAATCTGGATATGTATCTGTGTGGTGTGCCTCTGTATTCCAAACACTTGGCAGGATTTGTGGCACAAAGGTAACAAGTGAATGAATAATTACCTTTAAGATAGCTGTCATGAAGACTGAGCAGCCCATCAGCACAAAGATCATAAGGCCTGTCACTCTCTGCTCTCGGATGCCCAAAAACTTGGGCTGTTCTCCAGGAGCAGAGCACTCAGATTCTAGCTTGAGACTGTTCACATGTGTGATAGACAGGACAGTTGCAGCCACAAACCAGGGCAGGCCCATGATGGAGCAGACACCCAGCATGATGGCCACCATCAACAGGTCCAAGTGATAGCCACAGCCTTTCTGTGGAGAAAAAGAGTAGCTGTTACCATCAATGGGCTGGCTATAGTGCTGTATATAACAGTGAGCTGAGCAAAGAAGCTAGGGATGTATGGGCAAGGAGGAAAGGGTCCAGGGATGCCAGAGAAGTCTCACAACCCCTCCTGCTTGGAAGAAACAGAGAAGAAAAAGGGAAATCTTAGCCTGTTCTATTTGCCAATACCCATTCTTTATCCAAGTGCCCCCAGTTTACTCTTGAGTCTCACACATTCAAAGGCCCACTATTCTCTGAAAAAGTAACTAGAGACCAACCTACATCTTGATGATTCTAGTAAACACTACAGGAGTTGGAGATAAATGTTCTTGAGTTTCTACAACACACCTCAGATCCTTGCCAGATCAGGATGTTACCGAGTCTAAGTAAGGAAAGAATAGAGATAGAAGGCCTGCAGGGCCTCACTAGTTCATGCGCTAGAACTAACTCTAGAGCCTACAAACCCTGCAGTTCAATGTTTAGTCCAGAAAACCCTTGTAATTGACAGCAAAGGGAGAATGCTTGTCCAAGGAAAATACAGTTGCTCAAGCTCTGACCTGAACCTCAGGAAGACAAGTTCTGTAGTTGTAGAGTCGGAGTCAGAGCATGTAGCTATGTAAGGGCCATCAAGAACTCTGCCCACCATCCTTCCCCCAGAGGGTTAAGAGAAGAGGAATGGAGTCCGAGCTTCTTTCATGTCACACCACCATGCTCCACTCTAGTTTCATCTCCAAACCAGTCTTTTGTTATTAGTGGGTAGAGAATGAAAACCCTTTATGAGCCTCTTCTAAGACTTTTTATCCAGGTTCTACAGTTCCTGGTGTACACAGGCTCATCCTAAAAAAAAAACGTGACAGGCTGCAATAGCATTCTTCTGAGTCACAACTTCTTACCTTGAGCTTATGTTCCTTCCTGTTAATGATGACTGCTGTGATCTGTTGGTCCATGAATATCAATATAGTGCAAAGAAGAGCTGGGATAATCGCAGCTATCACAGTCCACCAGGGGTTGGGGCCAATGGGACTGATAATCCACCCTCGATCATCCCTTGTTGGCTAATGGGGAAAAAATGAGATGCTGTTTTTCTATTTTTTTTCTCTCATTGAGTTTATTGGTACATTTAAGGTATACAGAAAAAGTTCTGTTTTTCTATTTTAACTATAGTCATTAGGCCAAAACAGATCAAAGTGAATCACAATTATGCATTTCTTTTTCTTTTCATTTGAATAAGAATCATTTAAAAGAAAAGACAAAAAGATAAAAAGACATGAAATGCAGCAACCTTTTAGGAAATCTATGACCTTTTGCCAAATCCTCTTTGAAATAGTCCTCAATTATCAACTTGCTGTGGAATATTTATTAATCCTACACTTCCTTCTACTTATTCTCCAAACCCCTATGCACAAAAAAGCAATTTCTCTCAACATTAGCCCAAGTAAAATATAATTATTAACAACTAAGCATGTTTCAAAAAATTTAATGACTTTCAAAGACAAATATAAACAATTTCGACCAGTGATGGCGAACTTTTTAGAGCTTTCACTGAGTCACAGTGCCATAGATTCGCCACCTCTGACTTATCCTCCTCACTGCTCCTTTCCAGACACCATACAATGTGTCTACAGCACAAGTAAAGACAAAGTGAAGTCAGCTGCATGAATCTCTTGGGCTTAGGTTGATTCATTCCACCAGTCCTCTCCAATCAAGAGTGCAACAGGGGCCTAGAGGCTTGAGAAGAGCCCAAGATGGCTAACCTTGGATTTCTGACTGAGGAACCCTTCCAACGTGTCTATAAAACAATTGTTCTTAAAGCTTAGAGTAGCTATGACACAATAAACTTCCCTAGATCCTCAGCTCCTATCCCTAGGGTACTGTGGGGGAAGACAAGGTCATCATTTTTGGCAGGTGGTGTTAGAGGATAGAGGGCCAGGAAGAGAGGTGCAGGGCAGAGCGGGAGCCAAGATGTAGCAACTTGGTGATTTCCTGGGCTCATACGCTCAGGTTCATTTGCTTGCCACTGGCCAAATCAACAGAGGCCATATATTTTGATTAACAATGAAAAAAAGATTTATTCAAAGCTAGCTCCAAGATGAGAGAGGACCATTTGTCTCAATCACTATCTCCCAGTGTACAGGTCCCACTGTCAAGATCTACAGCAAGGAACAGCATCAAAAGCTGGAAAAGCATTGCAAGATAGACAGGTACCCTCCCTTCAAAACCTGGGTGGACCTGGCAGCCGGGCTGAATCTGAAGGAGGAGCAAGTGCAGGTATGGTTCAGGAGGAACCGGAACCCCTGACCTTGGTCGAAGCTCACCATGTGGGTGCAGCATTTACAGGCTCTAAACAGCCTGTAGCCCTTGCTGAGCTCACTCACTCCTTTCTCTCCTTGAGCCTCCACACCTGCCCAGCTCCTGGCCTGCATGACAATCACTGGCTCAAGGGCAATGGAATCTCACTGGCAACAATACCCTGGGCCGGGGGTATCCCTGGGGCTGCACTCCTACTCCAGTCCTACCAGGGCCTCCCCAAGTTCTCCACAGTCCTGGATGCCTTTTGGAGACTCTATCTGTCTCTACCATAACCTCCAGGTTCCAGGAGGGAGCACCTTTGGGGACCAGGATGCATCAGGCCCAGGACTATGCTGAGTCTGCAGGGGGAACATGTACCCCAGGGCAGTGGGGCCTCATGCTGGGTCCTTCCACCTTGGGAATGTACCTTCACCCAGACACTGCTTTAAATGTCCCCAACTCCTCATTTGGGTCCCACAGGAACATTTTTGTGAGTTTGTAGGACTAGTGATGCTCATGTTTGGTGTTTTGAGACATGCCTCCCTATGCAGCCCACGTTGGGCTTTCACTTGTAATCCTACTGCCTTGGCTCCCTCAATGCTGTGACTATAGGTGTGTGCCACCTCATCTGGCTTCTTTATTTTTTATTTTGATATTGGGTCTTGCTACGCCTGCTAAATTGTCTAGGCTTCTCGAACTTGTGATCCTTCTGTCTTACTTCCCAGAGTGCTGGGATTATAGGCCTGCACCACCACAACAGGCTCTTCTTCATTTTGAAACAAGGCATCACTCGCTAAATTGCCCGGACTGGCCTTGACTATGGAATCCTCTTGTTCTGCCTATGTCTCTGGAGCAAGGATTACAGACATGTGCTACCCTGCCCTATTCAATTTTCCTTATTTTTGCCTTCTAGAGTTAATGCTTTTGTCCCCCCAGCCTTGTTTAAGAAATCTTTATGAGGTAGTCATGAGAATATTCTGTAATCTTTAGTTTTGCCTTCATAAGAAGGATGTCATGTAGAATCAATGGTGTATGATGTGAGGTAGGGAATCTCTCCTGCTGTGGATTTCCAATTCAAAATCTCATAATTTACTTTGTCATAAATCAGAGGTTCATTTTTTTAAAAAAGGCTAGGGCTACAATTAGGCCCAGAATTAACTAAATTCAACAAAAAAGATAATTTGTTATATCTGAAGTATTTAGTTCTATATTAGTTGTGACTCTCAAGTTCAAAGGCTCTTTAATATTATTGCAATTATATTGAATTATGAATGGGTTAGATCCTAAAAGCTTACAGAACCTATGTTTCCTTAATAATAATGTTCTAAGTAGCAGTTAAGTTCTCATACAAACATAAAAACTTATTACACCCTAATACATTGTGGCCTGAAGTAATAGCAGAGTTGGCCCTCCACATTGGTGATTTTTGTATTTTTGGTTCACCAGCTGCAGATTGAATATATTCTGGGAAAAACTGCATCTACACTAAATTTGTAGACTTTCCCTTATCATTATTCCTAAACATTATAGCATAAGAACCACTTACAAGGCATTCACATTGTGTTAGGTGTTATAAATAATCTAGTGATGATTCTAAGCAAATAGGAGAATGTGCACAGCTTATATGCCAACATGATCATTTCATTTAATGGACTGGATCCTGAAGGGTCCTGGAACCATCTCTGTGGATATGAAGGGAGGAAGTGGTGATGGCCTTGGCTTTAGGTTGGGACCTAGGAGCTGGTGGCCATGTGGCTTACTAGGGAAGGGAAACATGGAAGGAAGAAAACTTCCTTTGTGCTTCCTGAAAATGAAGCAAGCCACTAGCAACATTTTCTTGGACATTCTCCAATTTCCCTTTCTCCTCTCTTTCCTACCTCTCAGAGGCTTTCTTCCCAGATGGCCCAGAAATTCAGTGATTTCTGACTATCTTAAGCCTACCCACCAGGAAACTTTTCCAAGGACTGCTTAATGCTCCTAAGTCACCTATTTTTATATAAAATCCATTCCTCCTGCAGAGCTGACCTCAGCTAGGTATTAGAGAGAAAGCTGATTGCGCTTCTTCACACAAAGATGAGAATGCCAGATTTTCAGAGGTGTTTTAAGAGGGTGTTTGTTAACTCATAAATTTCTAACTAATAGAATTAAACATTTTTATATAACATGGAAAAAGACATTTTTAATAAGCCTTTTTCATAGAGAAAGACAAAGGGAAGCCAAAGGCCAACGTATGGGGGCCTGCACGAGTCAGACTGCCTTTTTTCCTCTCTGCCTTCTCCCCACAATTCTCTCTCATCCCCCTACTCTATTACTCTTCCAAAATCCCTGAGTATACCCAGGTTTTCTCTCCTCTCTACCCAATGGGGATTTGTGAATCTGAGCTCAGTTTTTCTATCTTCTCTATTTCCTCAGCCCTGCCAAACTGAAATAGATTTGGAGTTCCCATATATTAATCATTTGTTTCACATTTGTATATATGTTTTTTTAAAAAAATCTGTAAATTACATATGATTATACAAGTAAATAACAGAAAAGCATTGAAGAGATATCCTGATTACTCTGGCAGGGGTCTTAGCTAGACTCCAAACAAGGTCCCCCTTAGGTTCATTTCCCTTCAATACAGGAAGATCCTTAAAAGGAGGGGTTGGATCCTTTACTTTTTCCATCCTTCCTAGTGCCCTTAAACAGCTGCTGCTCAGTGAAGGTGCTGTTAACTGGACTTGCTCTGGGGACCCACATTTCCACAGAATCAGTATATATTTATGTAAACAAGCATATTCCATTATTTTAAATTTTAACTATAAATGGTACTCATGATAAGCTTTCCTTTTTCATTCATGAAATAGCCTTCATTTTTCTGTTCCCTGACTTTTCTGACCTGAACTCAGCCAGACCTAAAGGGTTTTACTTTTCTGAATAGCAGGTATAAGAAACAAGTTTTACACTTAGAGAACTGCAAAACTTATCTAACAACTGGCATGTAGCAAGGCCTTGAAATCAACCTGGGATCAGAGTCTATGAAACTACACGAAGGCACCAAGTATCCTGAGACCCATTTACCTTGAACACACTGGGAACTTGAAGCTTTGGTGATGGGACGCCAATCAAAAAATCAATAATCACCATTGTGAAGATAGTGAGGAAAACTGCAAAGTCACTCACCATGGAGCGTACCTGGCAGAAAAAAGAATCAAAACACTGTTTTGTTAAGTTAAATAGAGCGAAAAGAATTCAATATAGTAAAATCTTTAAAAATTGTCAGGAAAATGCTTTCACTTTACAGTTGAACTAATACAAGCAAATGAAAACAACAGGAATATCTTAGTACACCCAAATCCATGCCCATAAAGTGTGGATATGATGAAGGAGAATAAACCCTTGGACAAACTCCAATGTGACCCAACCCAGCCTCTGAAGAGTTCTACTTGGAGCATTTAGGCTCAGGTTCAGGTTCTAGTTCTGGAAAGTTGGAAGTGAGATTTTCTTGGCCAGCCATGGCCCAAAATGCTAGGCAAGAACCTCAGCAGTAGCATCAACTCCACTTTCTCTAACACCCAAAATCTGGGGTCTAGGCCTTCCTCACCACCTCCACTGCTCCTACTCAGTGCAAAGTCTTTACTAGCTCCTGCCGGGGCAACTGTAGTGGCTCCTAAGTTTTGCTCTCCACCGTTTCCTTTAAACATAGCCATAGGAACAATTTAGAATATAACCTAGATCATATCACACTTCTACCAAAATCTTCAAATGACTCCTTGTTTCATAGAATTAAAAACCCATAATGCCCTCTTGGCCTTTGAGGCCCATACGAATGACATCATCCCTTCTCCACGCACAGCTCCTAATGCTTTTCTGCTCACTCTACTCCAGCCATAAATTCCTCCTTGCTGCTCTTTAAATGTGCCAGGCTCATTCTCAGTTCAGGGTCTTCACACCTGCCCATCCCTCTATCTGCAGCGCTTTTCCTCTAGGTGACCTCTTGGATAGCTCACTAACCTCTACCAGGCTAACTCATATACTGCCTTTTCCACAATATCTCCTCTCATGATTCTACTTCAACTGGCCACTCCCTGCCACCCCCAGCACGTCCTAGACTTCTCTCCTGCTTTTTTTTTTTTATAGCATTTATTTCCATTTTGTTGTGGACTCCCACTCAATTTAATACCTGCTCTAAGAAAATATACTATATTATGACTTAGTATAGCTTTAATAAAATAGTTTCTATCAAATGACTGTGCCTACCTTAATAGGAACTTCCAACCAGGCAGAGCAGAATATTTCTTAGCCACGCATGAGTAACATCACCAGCAACTTAACTAGACTTGACTTTGCTCTGACACCTAAGGTATCTAGCACCTTCTCTGAGGTTTTGTTAGTTCTTCCCTGAATGTTGTATAAATTCTGTGCAGATTCACCCCACCTGAAACTTATTTTGACCATCTTGGGGCCCAGTGGCTCTTTTTCCCTCTGAACTCCAGGTTAGCATTCAACTACTTACTACTGTTGCATATGGCACCCAAGTGTTTCATGTGTTTCCCTGTCTATCTGATGGCAGATACTGTCTTTTTAACTTCTTTTGCACATACCATAGCACTCACCCACTCCTGAGCAACCAGTCAATACTCAGTAGCCATTTGCTAACTATTTGTTCAGATTAAAGACTCAGAACTTACTTCATATGTATGTCTCTTAAGTACTAGGCAGCATCATGAAGTATAAGAATGGATTTAATTATGTATGTATGTAAGTAAATATAACTGAGTCCCCCATTCACTCATGTACTCTGTTCTGCAAATGTGCCTGACTGAAAGCTCACTTACAGAAAAAGCATTTCCTGCTGAGTTGAGCTGCTTTTCAAAGCAATGGCCCATTTAGCTACTCTACATTGCACCTTAGTTAAGTCCTGACGAAACTGGTATGAGCCTTGCTCATGATACAAACAATGCCATCTGTATGAAGGAAAGGTTGTTGGAGCTTCCATGATGCAAACCAAATGAGGGGCATGGTGCCTAGTACCATCAGTGTGGCCAATGACTTCATAAGCTATTACAACAGCCATCCCTGGAAGGAGACCTGAACTTTGGGATTCCCTAAAGTACCCAAGACAATTATCCCCACTTGCACACAGGCTAGCTCCAGCTGTCCCGTGCTTAGTGTCCCAAAATTCTGGAAATGAAACTAACAGCATTCTAGAAGTGAGACGTAATAGCTTGCAGAAAACAGTACTACCATTTTAAGCCTACCTGGTACTTTAAAGTCAAAAAGATTTTAAGAATTCTTGTTCCACACCACAGATCTATGAAACAGGGTGACAGACACTAGAGGTGATAAACATACCATAATGTATCAGGACACTTGGAGCTCTCACACTGCTGATCTACTCCACAGTCACCACGGAGGGTGAACCACAAATTCTATTATATCACAGCCCAACCACAAAAGTGGTGCATGAGCATGTTACCTACCCTGGTTGGGAAATAGCGGCTCGTCTTAAATGTCTTTAAAGTGCTTGAGAGGATGAAGGTGGTGAAGAAGAGAATACAGGACCAGAAGAGGACATCAGGAGTGTAGGGTCCATGGTGGCCACAAGCAGATCCTACAAATTCTCCATGCATCTCCTGGCATTCCTGGAAGAACAAACATTCTTGGTGACAAAAAGTGGACACAATGAGAAAAAAAACAGTTGTTGCCTTCTGAGTCCACCATTCTTTGACATCCCACAGGTGCTAGGGAACGCATGGTGCCAGCAGTATCCACTGACCTCCATGCAGGTGGGGGGCTCTGACTTTCCAGTAGGGTACGATTATAGTCCTAACCAAGATGATTTTCAGGGTCCTGCTATGGTCCTAAGATAATTTTAAGAATGAAACTAGAACTGTACTGAGCTTCCAAGGCTCTAGAAGGTCCCAGTAATTTATATTATTTTTATTACAGAGGATCTCCAAACTTGAATTTTCTTCAAAGCCTACAAAGCCTGGATCTGCCTCTTGCCCGCAGGTTTCATCCCCACATATCCTTAGCCCAGGCTCACAGGGTGGTGTGCACGTGGGAGAATACAGGGATGGACTTCTTTTCCCTTTATGTACAGAAAACTTTACAGTATGTGCCACAACATTTGGCTAGTTTTTTTTTTTTTTTTTTTTTTAAGC